AGGTCTTTTCCAACCTAAATAATTCTGTGATTTAGGCCACTCTGCCAAGGTGTGGGTGGTGACAGGCACTGTGCATGGCGTAATGCCAAAGCAAAGGACAGAGGCAGCTAGTTCTTTGTTTTCTGCTAGTGGAGAGTGCTTTGAAAATGGAAGTTCAAGGAACCAGTTTGGAACTCATCAGAAAGGTTTGCAAAAACTATAGCTGGTGCAGAAAAGACTCCAGTGAGGATGTGGTAGCTCTAATTCAGACCTCAGTCAGACAGACAAAGGTGAATTGAAGCTGTTACAGAAATCATGAGGGTGGCTTAACTCTTCTGGGAGCGCTGTGCACAAAGAGCTCTGAGTTTCCATGGAACAGCCTGCTGCATCTTGGACTTCTAGGACTGACAGTCCCTCACCTTGGCTTCATGTCTAAGTGGGCTGTGGGGAAAACATTCATAAATAAGAACAGAGGTCTCTGTCCATCCAGGATTTCAAGGTCTTCGACACTTGGACAAACACAAGAAACACTGAGTGTCATGTTAAAGTCGTGAAGCTGAAAGATCAAAAACCTCAGATGAAAAAGGAGCAGAAGATGCTGTGGTGGCCCTCGAGGCCAATCATTGGTCCCTGAGAGGCTGACAAGGCTAATGAGAGGTGGGGTCAGCACCAACGCTGAGAAAGCAGCAGCACAGCAACCTGTGGCTCACAGCAGAGACCAGAGCAGAGCCAGCCTGGCTGCACTTTCCCCAGGGACAGACTGTATTTCTCAGGGAAACTACACTGAATTACTCAGTGAGGCAAATAAGTGACCAGATCCCACTAACACCTTCAGGTGGAACTTGTTGGGAGTTGCAAAATCCAGTAGCCTGAGAGGTGAGGCTGCCACAGCTCTGTTTCCCCTGCTCCAGCCAGTAATGAGGTTGAGCATTTATTTCCAGTAAGCAAACACACATATAAAATATACACTCACATGCAGACTCGGCCAGTCACACAGACATAGTAGACAGCATACAAATAGACAGCACAGACAGAAACACTCAGCACTCATGCAAATACAAAGAGCACCAAAGGCCTCAGCCCGTTATCAGCTCTTTGGCTGATCAGGATGAAGGTCCATTGGTGTGTAGCTACACAGTGGGGATCCCTCAGTAACTGGCCTTAGACACTCAGTCTACCCAGTAGCTGTCTCTTGGATCCCATTGTCTTCAGGTGCCTCATGCACAGACACGCACATGCAAGTGGATCTTTCAGTCAACCCCAAGACCTTACCAGGAGTTGGCATAGACCTCCTGGTCCCTCCGGTAGTCAAACCACAGACCCTCAAGTCTCCCCAGTAGCTGGTCCAAACTTATGGCTGCCTTGATTCCAGACTGCCAAGTGGCTTACCCTACTCACTAGCTGATCCATCTTGATATTAGCTAGGGATCACGCCCTGACATACATACCCACACAACACATACCTGTTGTGGTCTCTCCAGTTGGTAGCACCCCAGACACACAGGTGCCTATAGTTCTTGGTCCCCACTCCAGTTGTTGGCTCTGAGACTCTCATTCTCTCACTCCCATTGTTTGTACCAAAGATGCATGGACACCTATGAACCACGGTTAGACCACAGCCCCTAGCACATCGACTCTCACCCGTTTCCTTCTTTCCAGTTACTGGCATCACACATACATGGACCCCTATGACCCCTGGTCCCACTTGTCATTGGCACTTAGACCAAGACAGAGTCATGTCACCCAGGAAAACAGTCAGAAATGAAGTTAGATAAGAAGACAGGATGGACTGCAGTGATCAGGCACAGAATGTGGCCAGACAAGTGTACTGACCAGCAACCTGTTTACATGGGACTGCTCCCTCTTCCCAAAATGACCTTGATCCTTCCCTTCCCCCACCTTTGGTTCCTCACCTCAACATGCCATAAAAAGTCTCACACAATCCCAAAATGCTCTTCCTAGCATCCCATAATGTGTCATATACCCCTGTAGGCAGTAAAGCCCCTCAGTCTGCCAGGTGGTGTGGGGAGCCTCTCCCATTGAGTCATCTAGATGGGTTTCACACCCAGTCCATGGGCTGATTATTGTCCTGTGACAGCCTTAGGAGGAACCAGGCGAGCGTACTCTGTTTCTCTGATTAGGTTACTGCAGTTCCTCTACCTGCCATCAGACCTCTGTGCTCCTCTGTGTTTGGGGAGAAGATCCTCTAATCACATAACCAAACCGAATCCTCCGATGTGGTGGATTCAAAGCTCTGTAATTTTAGGCACGGTTACCAAAAGCACAGTGCATTTGGAAGCAGGAAGCTACCAGTCAGAAAGGCATTTTCCTTATACTTGCTAGACATCTTTAACAGGAGCTGGCAGCTAGTGCAAGAGTTAGGATGTTGGTAAGCAAGCCAATAAGTGAGAAAGCTGAAACCTGTTAATGCCTGTGAACTACAGGATCTCAAGTGCACAGTGGCCAGTGTGATAATCATCACCACTCAGGAGCAGATACCGCTGGCGTCTGTTATCCTCAGGTGAATCAAGCAAAGGACAGACTCAGGGACAAACCCTGGGACAAGTGACTACAACACTGCTTTGCAGGAGTGAGCTTGGCCCTCATAAAACTCCTTAAAGAGAGGAGGAAACTCCTTGTCCAACAGTGGGTCTCCAGGGGAGGCATATTAACTCTAGGGCTAGATGTATGACATAGGGGGAAAGAGGTAAATTATGCTGTTCTGCTCACAGCTAGAGCATTGGGCTCAGCCAGAGTCAGAGGGGAATGGGAGGAGTCCGAGGCAAAGTAAGAAAATGGTGGAAAGAAGTCTGTTAAGTAGGACCTGTGAGGAAAGGTGAGGCTTGGGACTGGGAAAAAGCAGTTGGAAGAGGGGAGGAGGGAAGCATCTTAGCCACAAAGAGACTGTGAAGAACACAGTGGTCCTGTTGCCACCAGAGTACACTGGAGGACATTAACTCAAGTGGCAGCAGAGAAAGATTTTGTTCTACGTGAGGTACACCACTGTCCTGTGAAGTTGGAAAGGACCGGAGCACCAGGAAGGGGAAGAGAGGCCATTTCCAGCACTGCACTTCTCCAGTTCCCTGATACCACCACAAGTCTCCGCTGACCACCACTTTCTGGCAGCTGTCTGTGACACTGCTTTGTGTTGGTTTGTGTTATTGACAGTATCCTGTGGAATTAAGTCAAATCCCTGCAAGTGTCAATACTACACCAGTGGAAATACCCCCGTCAACCAGTGGGGGTGGCTAGTTTCAAAAAAAAGACTCCTGAATCTTCCCACCTGTCAGATTATGTGGTTGAACAACATCAGGCAATTATGAACCCCAGGAACCTCATCACTGAAAATGTATCAGGGGTCCAGGTGTCCAAGCCAGCTCCCAGACAGACATAGGGGTCTGGGAGGCAGCTACTGGGAAGACCAGAAGTCTTGACTAGCTACTGGAAAGACCTTTTTTTTATTGTGTCTGGCGTGAGACAGAGTATAGGGAAGACCAGGGGATTTAAGGGCCAGCTATGTGTAGACTGAATGACTAAGCCTTGCTACTGGAGGGGTCCATATTACATATGTGTAAACATATATTTTTTCTACTAGCAGGCTTTCATCCCGCAGGCAGCCAGAGAGGGGAACAGGATCAGACTGCCCATGCTGTTTGTGTTTTCATCAGTGCTTTCTGTCTGTGTTGACCTGTGTGGCTGCTTTTATGTACATATTCTTTTTCTTCTATATGTATCTGTATATGTACATATTGTACATACACGCTCAGTCTCACTACCATCTGGAGCTGGGGACGTGGAGCTGCAGCAGCCTTGCCTCTGCTGGGCTACGGGATTCAGCAGTTCCTGCCACTACCCCCTGCCATTCACAGAACTACTCCCATCGATTGGCTTAGGAAGGCAAATCTCCTGGTCACCTTGTCTCCAGTACAAATTCTCCCCTCTCTTTGGGACACAGAGAGAGGATTCACTTTCATAGGTAGGACAGAATCGCACAGGCAGGAGATGCACACCAGTGCCCTTTGCGGAGCTGGCACTGTTTGGTCAGGAAAGCTTAGGCAGATGATGTTTCCTGAGGCAAACAAAAATGGGGCCAGGAAGTGGGAATGGGTGGAGAAAAGGTGGGATCCATGGTGGCATATGGTCTGCAGCAGAACATGAAGGCAATTCAATAGGCAATGCACTTCTGGAAGGGACCTCATGCTACAGGAGCCCTGTCCCTTCCTGCCTCTTCTGCAGCATGGTCTGGCCTGGGCAGGTATGGCCTTACAGGGACCACTGAGGTGTCGGCCTCCCAGTAAGGCTGCTGCATCAGATGAGTCTGGGATCAGCTCTGAGTTGGGAAAAGGACTTCTTCCTAGAGGTGGCACTGAAGGCCCCAGTCATTTTGCCACTGGGAACAGCTCCTCATACTTGGTCAACCATGTGCAGGTCAGACTCCTGGCACAAGCTCCTGTTACTCTCCCGGGCAAGACTTTCAGCAATGGAAACAAATAGTCATCCTATCCCTAGAGCTGGTTTCCTGTGCCCAGTCCCCTCCAGAGCTTTGGCTGTGTGCAATGGGACTGTAGCCAGGTTGTCTCTGGGGGGTTTACTCTCACTGGGTGGCTGCAACTTCTGCTGCAGTAGTTGCCTAAGGCTCTATCCTGGCACAGGAACACGTTTTGATTCTGCTTATACAAACCACCTGCAGCTTAGAGAGGGAAAGAGGAAGAGGGAGAAAGACACACACACAGAGCACAGAGCCTTTTTCGTTGGCCTAATGCTGTATTTTCTCTTGTATAGGAAATCAATATTTATTCAGCAAAACCAATGCAAGAAGAGGACATTCTCTACGTGCCCCAAGAAAAAGCAGACACCTCTGCTCAGGGAGACAGAGGAAATCACAGCTCTGAACATCTGTCTTCCATTCCTGTGTCTTCTTCCTGGAGAACTCAACCTCTTTTCAGCCAGTGGCTGCCAGACCCACTCAGAAGGAATAGGACACAAAAGCCCAGGATTCATTCAGGATGAGGGTCGCTCCATCACGCAGTTACTGCTGCAGCTTCACAAATTCGATTATGGCTCTCACATCGGGCATCATTCCAGTTGTGTGATTCTGTAGTACTCTGGATTACAACGCACATCTCAACAGCCACATTACTTGGTTCCCCTGTCCGCCAGAACCTGAGATAGAGACAGACTGTTACTCCCAGCGTACCCCATAGAGCACTGCTGGAGAGGGCCACAGCAGGACGCAAGGCTTGGAGGGGAGAGAGAAAAATTCCAGATGCTGATTCACGGACAGAAGCAGAACCCTTCCTCCCGCTTTGCTATCCCACTGGCACCAGTCTTATGTGGAAAGCTGCCTTCTTCCTACAGCCAGCACAACAGGGACCTGCTCAGTCCTGGTGGGGGGAGCTGCTCACCACCACTCACCCCACGCACTTCACACCCAGCAGAGGCATGTGGCTGCCTCCAGGGCAAGTTTGTCCTCCAGAAGGAGGCGCAGCAAGGACAGCCCTGGTGACCTCTCCCTGTGCCCCATCTCTCCCACAGCATCACAGCACTGGCCTGTGCATATACGTGCACATATGCATGGTGGGGGCAGTATGGAGGTCAGGCAAGGCTGGTCATCTCCGAAGGGTTCTTCCTGCTGGCGAGATGCAGCTGCTTCTGTGCCTGCAGCACTGATGGCCACGTCACAGGTAGTTAACTAACAACCACTAACCAGCATGGATGGGGACGTGTCAACCTGGTGTCCTACCCAGCCCTCTCTCCTGCTCCATCATTGTCCTCTCACAGGGATTTGTCTCACCTCTCTCTCATGCACCAACAGACACCCTCACATCTCTCCTACTCTCTTGCACTGCCAGGAGCCACGCTAAGCACTCTCCATCCGGGGATACTCACGCTGCCGTCTCATTATACGGAGTCTGGTCCACCCACCGCCAGTGGCCCACCACCTGTGCACGCAGACCGATGTAGTAATTCGTTCCTTTTTGAGATTGTCGTAGCTCGTTAGTGAGGAAAGCCTGGAAATCAGGGAGAGTGCAATGTCCATGAGGTGCAGGACTAAGCAGAGGGAGGAGGCAGGAGTCCCTGTGGGGTGGGGCTGGTGGCAGAGGGAAGCCGGTGCTGAAGGGATGCAGAAAGGACATCCCCCCTCCCCTGCAGGAGCAAGGAGGGCCTCTGAGTGCCCTCCAGGGCCTGGCACTGTGTCTCTGGCTGCTGTGCCCCTCTCTCAGCCCTGCACATACCTGCTCTGCTTTGCTGTTGATCACCACCAGGTGGGAGCCCATCCCAGTGCAGTTCTGCACACTCTCAGCCCAGGGCATCTTGTCATCTGACACGTAATAGCAGCTCTTTTGGAAGCGTTTCCAGCCCTTCGGGCAGCACATCCAGTCTTGCCCTGCGTGGGGAGACACCACAGAGATGAACGCTAATAACGAGAGAGATAGTGACTGCAAGGATCCCAGTTCTGCAGGGACAAAGCTCCTGTTCTCCTTAGATCACTTTTCCTGACAGAAAGGGCTTGAATAAACAAGGATAGTACAGATAGTTCTTCCAATTGCTTTGGAGTATGACCAGTGAGCTTTGTGCACACAAATCCATGGTAATCCTTGTAACATGACCTCAGGTCTTGACCTGACAAAGACAAAGTTAGTTTGGTGATCTGGTTTGACTTCTCCTTGCACAGTCTCCTTTAGGCCTTCAGCCCCAGGGAACAGGGAATAGTGCTGCTTTCCCTGACTACAGCTGCACTTCTGTTATTGCTCCACGGTTAACCTTCCCTGTGCGGCTGTATGCTGCCCCTTTTGTTTTGTCAGTGTTCACAGCCACCCTGCCCTCCAGGACATCATTCACATGGCCCTCTCCTCCCCCTAAGCTCTTAGCAGGAAATCCTTTTTCTCCCCACCTCTCTCCTCTGGAGTCCGCCTCTCCAGACTCTGCTCCCACTGCTCCTTGCTGTCAGAGCAGACCCCACCATTCATTGCCCAATTCATCCCAAAGACCTCCTGCACCCCTGCCAGCCCTACTGACCTTTGCCTCGCGGCACTGCCGAGACGCACCGCCACTCCGTGAGT